AAACTAGAGCTTCCTCTTTCATTTTTCAAGTGTGATCATGCCGCTTCCCATCTGTAAATAGCAGGGCAGCTTCCAGCTGCAGCGGGCAGGTTTCAGTCTCCTACCGCCACTTCCCTGTACCTGTGATGAGAACCAAATTCTCTTCTGGTCCAAGATGCACAGAACAAAGACCGGTTTCAGAGTAACAGCCGTGTTAGTCTGTATTCACAAAAAGAAAAGGAGGACTTGTGGCACCTTAGAGACTAACCAATTTATTTGAGCATGAGCTTTCGTGAGCTACAGCTCACTTCATTGGATGCATACTGTGGAAACTGCAGAAGACATTATATATACACAGAGACCATGAAACAATACCTCCTCCCACCCCACTCTCCTGGTGGTAATAGCTTATCTAAAGTGATCACTCTCCTTACAATGTGTATGATAATCAAGTTGGGCCATTTCCAGCACAAATCCAGGTTTTCTCTCTCCCCCCCCCACACACACAAACGCATTTCTCCAACGCATTATTAAGGATCTACAACCTATCCTGAAGGATGACCCAGCACTCTCACAAATCTTGGGAGACAGGCCAGTCCTTGCCTACAGACAGCCCCCAACCTGAAGCAAATACTCACCAGCAACCACATACCACACAACAGAACCCTAACCCAGGAACTTATCCTTGCAACAAAGCCCGTTGCCAACGGTGTCCACATATCTATTCAGGGGACACCATCATAGGGCCTAATAACATCAGCCACACTATCAGAGGCTCGTTCACCTGCACATCCACCAATGTGATATATGCCATCATGTGCCAGCAATGCCCCTCTGCCATGTACATTGGTCAAACTGGACAGTCTCTACGTAAAAGAATAAATGGACACAAATCAGATGTCAAGAATTATAACATTCATAAACCAGTCGAAGAACACTTCAATCTCTCTGGTCACGCGATTACAGACATGAAAGTTGCGATATTACAACAAAAAACTTCAAATCCAGACTCCAGCGAGAGACTGCTGAATTGGAATTCATTTGCAAATTGGATACAATTAACTTAGGCTTGAATAGAGACTGGGAGTGGCTAAGTCATTATGCAAGGTAACCTATTTCCCCTTGTTTTTTCCTACCCCCTCCCCCCCGACGTTCTTGTTAAACCCTGGATTTGTGCTGGAAATGGCCCACCTTGATTATCATACACATTGTAAGGAGAGTGATCACTTTAGATAAGCTATTACCAGCAGGAAAGTGGGTTTGTGTGTGTGTGGCAGGCAGGCGGGCGGGTGGGGGAGGGGGGAGAAAACCTGGATTTGTGCTGGAAATGGCCCAACTTGATTATCATACACATTATAAGGAGAGTGTTCACTTTAGATAAGCTATTACCAGCAGGAGAGTGGGGTGGGAGGAGGTATTTTTTCATGCTTTGTGTGTATAAAAAGATCTTCTACACTTTCCACAGTATGCATCTGATGAAGTGAGCTGTAGCTCACGAAAGCTTATGCTCAAATAAATGGGTTAGTCTCTAAGGTGCCACAAGTCCTCCTGTTCTTTTTGAGAACAAAGACCAGAATGACCGTCCTGTGGGTGCGAGAAGCAACAACTGCACCTGGCTCTGACTGGACTGTAGAGTGACTCCATGTTTGCGCTTTCTCTTACCAGGCTGGTTTTGACCCTCTGTGATGGGACCCCCAGGGTACATCCTGGAACTATGGGACAGCTGTGCTCCCCCTTAACTCTCCAGCCTGAGCTCTCTCTCACAAACCTATGCCAGTGACAACAGTAACCCCCTCCAGGCACTGTGATCACTCAGCCATCAGCATGGGAAGGCCCACACCCAGCTAAATTGCATGAAGGCTTTGCAAGCCACTCAGGAATTGTACAGAGGGTGGCACCAGCCAATCACCCCGGAACTGCACCATCTTCCACAGCTCGAGACTCCCTTGGACAGCACAAGCTCATCAATTGGTTCGCTGCTCCATTGACGGGTAGTGGACGTGCAGCAGCCCCTGTTAACCTCAGCTGAGATTCTCCAAGCACTGCCTCCGCACTGGTTCAGAAGAAATGTGACACAGATTTGTTGACTGCAGAAAGATGGATTTTAAGTGATTCTAAGGAGCAGGCGCAGAGATCAGAGTTGGTTACATAAGAAATAAATGTAAAAATGCAATCTAAATTCTACAGACTAGGGAAGGCTGGGTCTACACTGTGCTCTTTATCGCCGAGAGCGAGCTCTTCCGGTGACCAAATAAAACCACCCCCAATGAGGGACTTCCACCAACAAAGCGCTGTCCATGCCAGCGCTTTTCGTCATTAAAACTTTTGTAGTCAGGGTGCGTTTTTTTCACACCCCCGAGCAACAAAAGTTTTAACAATGAAAGCGCCAATATAGACATGGCTTAAGGTTTGAATCGAGCAGTTTCTCACCCTAATAGATGTTACAGGCAGCTCACAGTTCTTAATCTTCTGGATTCCCTTTCAGCCTGAGATCAATCTCCCCAGTTCAGTCTTTGTCTTCCAGACGATCTTCCAGGTGTTGAGAAGGGGCAGGAGAGAGGCCAAGTGGTGATGTCCATGCTCACTAACACTTTCTCTCCAGCTAGAAAGATCCTTGCTGTGACATGTTCGGCCGTCTATGTGCTCTCTGAGGAGTCTCTGGGAGAGTGGATTGTTCTTGATGGGCCATCAACGCCTGTCTGGCCAATGTTAGTTGCTCCTTTGTTGCCACTGAAAGTTCCGATTGTGGGTGTCTCCCAACCTCATTTCAGTAACACACATCTAGGAAAACTTCCTAACTTCAGATACAACGGTACTACACACAATCCAACAGGATCATAACACTCAACAGATCATGGCTTCTCAAATGGTACCTCACAAAGCATACTTTGTACAAAACACATCATCATCTTATCACAGTGGTGACTCGGGGGTCCCAGGTGCTATTTGAGGTACAGAGCGCCATACCTTCCCTTTGACTCCTAATAACAACAGATTCCTCCTGCCTGAGATGGTCTCCTGCCAGAGGGCTGTTTTCTTCTGCAGAATTTGAGGTGACTGGAATCGCTGTTCTGTCAGCTTTAAAAATCACCACAGGAAGTCTCCTGCTCTTTGTGCTCCTGCATATTTCTGAGTGCCGTGCTGGTTGCATTCGCTCAGAGATCGGCGCACAGGGATGTAATGGGAGACTTCTCAAATCCACATGAGAAAACAAAGGCTGATTAGAGTTGGCTGGACAATGAAAATAACTTCCCACCCATTTTTTTTTAAATTTGGTTTTGGAAAAAAGATCTCGAATCGGGACAAACTTTCCTGCAGGGAGGAATGCCCTGTCCTCAGCCCTTTCTCCCCCTGAATTAGTTCCTCATTGCTCTGGTCCTGTCTCTCCAGCTGCCTCTGAGGCTGCCCCTGCTAGAACTCTGCACTCTGCTGCCCTGTGGGGCTCGGTGCGGACCAGGAGCCAGCTCCCAGGGGGAGTAGAGAGGTGGGGGGGGGCCCTTGGTTGCCTGCTTAGAAGCCCTAGGAGCCACAGGCTGGAGGGGGGAACTTGGGGAGCCTGCCCCTACTAATGATCCTGTCAGAGAGCGGGTCAGCAGGGCCGGTGTGGGACTGGTGCCCGGCTGGGTGATGCTGTGTGCGCCCTTGTCCCTGCTGGCTCAGGACCCCTTTGTTCAAATGGCTTCATGTCCCCCCCGCACCGCCCTGAGTTCTGGTGTGAGGCCGATCTGGCTGGGTTGGTGGGTTGCAGCAGCTTGGCCACTGCTGTGGCTGTGGGAGCTCCGGTCGGGCAGTGCCCAGGGATCGGGTCCTCAGTGCAACAAGGCAGCAGCCGTGGGTTGGGGGTGGCCATAGAGGCCTCGTGGAACAGGGAAGGGATGGTTCCTGGCTCCTCTCTACCTGCACATGGCTCTGGGGACGCTGCCCCTGGGTCACGTGTTCAGTGCTGGGCACCGAGACCGGGGCGGAGCAGTGCAAGGGAACGCTGAGGCTGGCGGGATGGGCCTGACTGGAGCCTGCTGCTCCGGAGCGAGCCCCCACCTCCCCGCCACAGGCTTCCTGCAGCCGGAACCTCTCTTCCCACTGGAATGAAGGGGCTTCCTCTGCTCCTCCCCATGGCTGCTTCTTGGTGCCTCGGCTGCGCCGTAAAGGGGCTCAGCTCGGGCAAAGCAAACTTAACCCCTTGTTTTCAAACACCCCTGGAAGCAGCATTTGCAACCCAGACCCTTCAGCATCCATCCTGCTGGTGTGAGAGCTGGCCTGGTTCCTTGTTGCTCACATGGAGCGGAGGGCAAAGGTGGAGAAACAGCACCAACCGTGCAGAGCAAACTGGACTTTCAGGCGGATCTGAGGTCAGCCAGCGCCGGTGTCTGCGGGAACCAGGGGGTCCTGGAGCAGACAGCGAGGGGCCTGCTGGACTGAATTCAGGCAAGCGCCTTACTGGGAAGTTGGGGGCTGAGCCTTGCTGTCTCAATCAAATGGCACAAAACAAGCCAATGAGGCATTCTGCTGTCCTTCCCTGGCCCTGCCTCCATCCCGTGGGGTGGGGCTTCCTGCACATTACAGCTCCTGCTCCTGGAGGTGGGAAGAGAGAAAATGGCACCAACTCCCCCCCTCCCAGTTAAGCCCTGCACAAATCCTGGAGATATGGGACACAACTTGCTCCCCTGGGGGAACTCCTTCCCTTCCCGACCTGCTCACCCCGGCCCCTCTCCCAGGAGAAGGGAGAAGCTGCAAGATGCCCACCACATGCCAGGAGGGGAAGCAGGAAGGGAAATTCTGGGAGTGGCTGTCCATTGCTGCAAAGGGCTTTTGTTTTCTCCGAGTTACCAGGAGTAAATGTATTGCACACCAGAGGATCAGAGCCATTTTCCCTGTAGTCTGGTGCTGTCCTCAGACCTCATTTCTAATATGGTGTGATCACGTCTAGTTGTGTCGGGAGCTGGAGAGAAACTTGTGCTCCTTAGCAGACGAGGGTCTGATGGGATTCAAAGGAAACCGGCTCTCTTGGGGCTGGCCAGTTTCAGTCTCCTAAGGAAGATCCGGTGCTGGGACGGGACAGGCGCGCAGTGTGGTTAAAGGAAGAATTTTCTGCACTGCTGTCATCTCCCCCACTCTGACCTACAGATCCTCTTGATGTGAGGAAGTTGGTGAGAATCTTGGTTCTGTGAATTCGCTCTCTGTATTGTTGAACAGGAAACGAGGGAGTGAGCAGAAGGCAAGTTGAGACCAGCTTTAGTCACCAACACACGCAGCCAGAAACAGGTTCCCTGCGTCGCTCCTGCCACGGCAGGCATAGGGTGGCTGCAAGCTGCTCTCAAGCAGTCGGCAAAGCTGGCACCAGCGTGCCACGGAAATGCAGAAAATGGAAACTGGTGCGACGTAGCTGGAGAGGAGCTAGCAAGATGTGAGCCTGCAGGTAAATGCACCAGGCATTTCTGAGTGGGGCTGAGTGATGAACAACCGGGTTGCTGGATGACTCTCGGAAAGTTCCTGGGGTGGGAAGCTCTTTTCCAGAGCCTTGATTTCCCTCACACTCTTGAAAGAGAATCCAAAGTCAGGAAGGGAATGTAAGGCAGCTGGGGGGGATCACTAGCTGTTGGTGGAGTTGAGACCATAGGGGTGTGTGCTTGTCTCAGCTGGAGTTTCTCTCAGACCTGGCCATCGGTTTCTCATTCGCCCTGCAGCTCCCATGAAAGAGTTTGACACACAGGAGCCAAATGAAGTCTGATGGTTTTCCAGGTCAGTGGTCATAAGCCACTGTATAATGCTAAACGTTTCACTGCAGTGAGCAGTTCAGACGGCTTCATGGATAATAGTCTGACTTTACAATGGGGCATGCGCTTGAGTCGATTCAGTGCTACCATGTTCAGGCGTATTTAATCTTGGGCTGTACCTGGAGCTGAGACACGCAAGTGAATGGCAGGTGCTGTAGCAAATTGGTTTGGAGGCTGCTGCGGGCTCTGGATTTGATCCTAGGATTTTTAAAGGGTTGATGCTTGTGCTCAGCTCCCCAGCCATCAGGGCAATTGTTGAGAGGCCTCTGTGCCGGGCTGGCCTGGGGGCGTCACGTCCGGCACCAGGAGCGGGGGTTTCCAAGGCTCCAGGGGTGGGGCTGACATGGCCCCCCCTTGAGTCACTTCTGAAAGTCCCAGGCCCCTCAGGAGACGTTCCCTGCTTTGGGGAAGGGCTTTTCGAAGGATGCAGTGAGCCCAGCCTCCCGGGCAGTGTCTCAGCAGCCTGGGGGCGAGGCACAGGGAGGGGGAGAGGGGCGCAGATTTGGAGCCTGACCCTGCTTCTGCTGTGGTCCGGACAGAACTGCCTCCCACTGAGGGCAGCATGCAGGATTGTGCCTCTGAGCAGCAGGTGCTGGAGCTGAGCTCCTGTGGACAAACACAGGCTCGCTGCCGGGGAGCAGGGGCACGTTCCCCGGCCTAGCTCGCGGCGGAGCTCCGATGAGATGATCTGTGGTCCCTCCTGTCCCACTGCTTGGATCCACATTCAGCGGGGCTCCGTTAGGTCCAAGCAGCCCCATGCCTGGAGCACGCCCGGGTCACCATCTCCTGCAGTATCTGGTGAAAAGGAGAACGCGGTGGGCGGGGGGAGCAGAGTAAAGGCAGCCCACCCTGAAGCATCGCATCTCTCTTGTGCACGTTTTATTGTTCTCCTTGTCGTAAGGAGGTGCTCGTGTGGGCCCTGCTTGCCTGTCTGCCATTCCCGGGCTCCTCAAGGCAGAGAGACAAATAGAGATGGGGCTGTCTTGGAAACCCGTCTCACAGACAGTGTGTGTCTAGCACAAACACTGCCAGGCTGGGTCAGACCTGAGGTGCCTCCCGCTCAGTGTCCTGTCTCTGGCAGTGGACAGCACCAGACACTGCAGAGGAAGGTGCAAGAACCCTGTAGTAGCAGATGGGGGGATAATCTGCCCTCACATGAGTTCTCCTGGGCTCTGATAGTCAGAGATTGCGTCCGCGTTTAAGCCAGGAGATTTAATACGTCTCCCCAAATGTTAGTTAGCGTTAACTATTCTAACTCTGCATATTCTTTTATGCAATCTCTTTTTTAATCTTGTTAAGCTTTCGGCTTGAACATCTTCCTGTGGCAGAGAGTTCCACAGTCTAATCACATGTTGTGCATAACAGATATTTCCTTTGATAGGGTTTGAATTTTAATGGCATTTATTGTCCTCTTGCTCTCATTCTTATGAGACAGGGAAAACAGATGCTCCAATCTCCCTTCTCTGCCAGTCACTATGCACAGACTTTTATCACGTCCCCTCTTATTTGTCTCCTCTCTAACAACCCCAATGGTTTCAGTCTCTGCACAGAGACTTTTCCCAGGCGCTCGATCATTCTCTGGGTCCCTCCGGTTCTGCAGTACCCCTTGTGAGATGGGCTGACCTGTGCAGCTCCCAGCGTCCGGGCTCCCCAGTGAGCCATATCAAGCCATTAGGCTATTCCTTGTTTTATTCTCCATCCCACGGCTGATTCGGCCGCATTCCTTGCTGGCTTCCCTGGCAGCGGTTGAGAAGAACATGTAGCTTTATTGTGACGTGGGAGGGAGGAAATGCCGTTTTCCCGTCATGATGGCATTGCCGCAGCGCTCAGAGAACCCGGGCAGGGCCCGGGCCCCGCCGTGCAAGGTGCTGGATGAACACAGCAGGAGGCTGGGCTCTTTTCTGACCCACATTCAAAGCACTAATCACTGTGTCGGCTCCAAAAAAAAACCAAGGAGTCCGGTGGCACCTTCAAGACTAACCCATTTATTTGGGCAGAAGCTTTCGTGCGTGGTAAACCACTCCTGGTGCCACCGCACTCCTTGTTGTTTTTGTGGATACAGACTAACAGGGCTCCCCCCCGATATGTATCAGCTCCGCAGCTGTTGCGGCCAGTTTGATTCATCACCTGATTTACACGGCTGCCACTTCTCCCTCCCCTCCCCAGTGATGCCAGAGGCGCATGCCGACCGTTCTGCAGCACACCGGCACCTTCTGGCACCAACCCAGCCCAGCGTGGGGGGCAGGAAAAGCCGCATTCCCCCATGCCCAGCTCCAGCTGCACCGAACAGCTGGGCCCAGCAGGGACCGAACCTGTAGGCTCTGAGTACCCCCCACACGTAGCTGTAGGAGGTGCAGGGGGGAGCGCTGGCTTAAAGCGAGGGCACGTAGGGATGCCAGCAGCTGTTCTGTGAGCGCCAGCCACAACCTGAAATTGTTTTTCTCTGCGTCCCTCAGCAAACTGTCCTCCAAGCAACTGTCATGTTCCCCATTGTTGCAGTAAGTCCCGCAGGTCTGCAAATACGGGAGAATCGTGCGGTCTGTATTTGTGGAGTTCATGAGAATGCTGCCAAGCTCTGTGAGCTCCAGGCCTCTGTCAGAGATGTTGGACACCAAAAAGTGCCACACAAGTTTGTGGGATTTTAAAAAAAGCATGACAATTATGGGGTATGGATGGCATTATGGGATGGAGAAAGTTACATGCTGAGAACTTGACCCCGAGCTCCCAGAGATCCCTGGGCGAGTCATTTCGACCCTACCCCACAGTGCAAAAGTTCCCAAAAGCTATCACACTGGACAGCGGTGCCTGGCACCCGGGGATACCTCCCTATGGTGCACCACACTTTGCACTGACATGAGCGCTTCTGGTCAGTACACGCAGCGTCGACTCAAGCAGCCAGGTAGGCATGCGCACGAGCAACATACAAACTTTGGCTGCTGGAGGTCGGAGGCTGGAGGCCGACATAACTTGTGTTGACCAAAGTTTGTAGCACAGACACAGCCTAATGTGGTGTCTTCATAGCCAAAGCTCATATGTCCAGGGAACTGAGGGCTCAGTCCTGTGCTCTTTGGTTCCATTGGCCCAGGGTGGGTACCGGCATCGAGCCCTTACATGAAAACAGGAAAGGCAAAGGTGGAGACAAAGCAGCTCATTTCATATCCGAGACATGCACAATTGAAACACATCATCAGCACTGCCAGCCTCAGACACTCACCTGTCATGAATCAGGCCTGCAGACGTCATGAGATTGGCTTGAAGATCATGAGTGTTTAAAAAATAATACATTTTGTGTCCTTTTTGTATTTCTTCTGGTCTCTGAGTCTTTACAGGGTTCACGGGCCGTGTTTTCAAGCTTTTCTCCACAATTATGAGGACTAAAAAGTCCTTTTTTAAAAAAGCAGAGATTTTTCCCATAATCCCAGGACTCCGGGAGATGGGGCTTTAACACCAGACACCATGATACTCAAGATAAAAGTCACAAGAGCAGGCAACCTCTGGATTTTGGGGGAGGCAGTTACTGGCAAGGGACAGAGTTAAGGGGGTTTGAGCAGCTTGTTCAGAAGTGCAGTGCTCTAAAAGAGGAAGGATGATCCAATGGTCACTAGCTGGACTCATATTTAGTTTGTGATCCACTATGACCCCTAGATCCCTTTTCACAGTACTCCTTCCTAGGCAGTCATTTCCCATTTTGTATGTGTGCAACTGATTGTTCCTTCCTAAGTGAAGTACTTTGCATTTGTTCTTCTTGAATTTCATTCTATGTACGTCAGACCATTTTTCCAGTTTGTCCAGATCATTTTGAATTTTAATCCTATCCTCCAAAGCACTTGCAACCCGTCCCAGCTTGGTATCATCCGCAAACTTTATAAGCACATTCTCTATGCCATTATCTAAATCATTGATGAAGATATTGACCAGAACCGGATCCAGAACTGATCCCTGCAGGACCTCACTCGTTATGCCCTTCCAGCATGACTGTGAACCACTGATAACTATTCTCTGGGAATGGTTTTACAACCAGTTTTTCACCCACCTTATAGTAGCTCCATCTAAGTTTTATTTCCCTAGTTTGTTTCTGAGAAGGTCACGTGAGACAGTATCAAAAGGTAAAGTCAAGATACCACATCTACCACTTCCACCCCTATCCACAAAGCTTGTTACTCTGTCAGATAAAGCATTCAGGTTGGTTTGACACAATTTGTTCTTGACAAATCCATGGTGACTGCTATTTATCACCTTATTTTCTTCTAGATGTTTGCAAACTGATTGCTTAGTTATTTGCTCCATTATCTTTCCGGGTACAGAAGTTAAGCTGATTGGTCTGTAATTCCCTGGGTTGTCCTTATTTCCCATTTTATAGATTGGCACTATATTTGCCCTTTTCCAGTCCACTGGAATCTCTCCCATCTTCCATGATTTTGTGAAGATAACTGCTAATGGCTCAGATATCTCCTCAGTCAGCTACTTGAGTATTCTGGGATGCATTCCATCAGGCCCTGGTGATTTGAAGACATCTAACTTATCTAAGTAATTTTTAACTTGTTCTTTCCCTATTTTAGCCTCTGATCCTACCTCCTTTTCACTGGCATTCACTATGTTAGACGTCCGATCGCTACTAATCTTTTTGGTGAAAACCAAAACA